AGCCTTGACAGCTATTCAAAACAAATATAACCCCCCCAAACACATCTTAGATCTGACCAACCACTGCCTATCCAACACATACTTCATCTATAATGGACAAAAATACAAACAAACAGAAGGAGCACCCATGGGATCACCCCTCTCACCTGTCATTGCCAACCTCTACATGGAACACTTTGAAACCCAAGCTCTAGAAAAATCGGATCACAAACCCAAACTCTGGCTCAGATACGTAGACGACACTTTCATAATCTGGCCACATGGGAAAGAAAAACTGGACAACTTCCTCACACACCTCAACAGCCTACACCCCAAAATACAGTTCACCATGGAAACAGAAGCTAACAACCAACTTCCCTTCCTGGATGTCTTAGTCTACAAGAAATCCAATGGCTCCCTAGGACACACCATCTACCAGAAGAAAACACACACAAACCGCTATCTGCACGCTCTCTCACACCACCACCCAGCACAGATCAACTCTGTAGCCAAGACACTCATCTCCAGAACAAAACGCTTAGCTGACGAACAACACCTAAAACCCGAACTACACACTCTCACCAATGTACTAACATCCAATGGATTCCATAGAAATAAGATTACAAACCTAATCCAAAAAGAAACCCCCACTAAAATCCAAGACAAAGAACAAGAAAACGGCAAAGCCCTCCTCCCATACATAAAAGGCACCACAGACAGAATCAGTAAGATCCTCCATAAACACAACATCAAAACAGCATTCTGCACAAACAGAAAAATATCCACCATCCTTAGAAACCCCAAAGATAAAATTGAATTAGAAAATCAAGGAGTATACGAAATCCCATGCACCACTTGTCCCACCACATACATCGGACAAACCAACAGAAGAATAAGTGCACGCATTGAAGAACATAAGAACTCAGTCAAAAAAGAGGAACCAACATCTTCCCTGGTCCAACACCTTAAAGCCACAGGACATGAAATTGACTTTAAAAATACCAGAACCATTGCCAAAAGTGAACATTTTAATAACAGAATAATCAGAGAAGCCATCGAGATAGAAAAACGCCCACACAGCATGAACAAGCGAGATGATACCTCCCGCCTACCAGCCATTTGGAAACCCGCCCTTATTGACAAACGACTCCCTAACACAAAAAATGATACCAGACCCACACTCACAAAAACCACACAGGATGTCACCACCACACATCCACGCAAAAAACAAACCCAAAGCCACACCGATGATGAGGCACGACCACAAACCAGAAGCCAGACCACAGCTGCATCATTAGCCACTTTAAACCCCTCCAATCCATACATGAAGCAAACTGACACCCTCCATGAAGAGGAAGCACAACCACGAACGCGAAGCCAAAAAGTAGCAAGGCAGCCCAAAATCTCAAACCCCTCTGCAACTCAGACTAACCTGAGCACAACCAAACAGAACACTCCCCCAGCCAATCAGAGCACAGCCAAGCCCCTAACCATTCAGAACACACCTCCACCCAATCAGAACACAGCCAAGCTCCACCCAATCAGTTCATACCCCCACTGGCAGTTAAAAGGAATAAACAGCTAAGACCACACATTGCTGCTCAAAGCACGAAGCTGAAAACACCAGCCTGAAGATGACGAATGGGACTTCGTCGAAACGTCGCCAAGACACTTCCAATTTTACGTGGGAGAAAACCCGAACAACCAAAGACCTACATATGTACAGTTATATATACATTTCAATTCTATCATTAACTTGAGATCTGAGCAGTTCTTCTTAATTGATACCAACGGTAAAATTTGTCCCAGATTTCAAAGTATTCGAGTTCTGTCTTATCCTTCATAATCATTGTAAGCCTGTCCATCTCAGCACAAGAAAGGATTTTATATAGGATCTCTTCTTCCGTTGGAACTCTCTTATTCCTCCAATTTTGAGCAAAGACCAATCTGGAAGCCATTAGAATGTGTAACATTAAATAAAGTATGCCTTTGTTGTACTTTTGCGTGGTTATACCTAATAGGAAAAGTTCTGGTTTTGGCTCTACCACTTGCTCTAATATTTCTTCCAACCATTCTTTGATTCTATTCCAAAAATCACGAACTCGCGTGCACTCCCACCACATATGATAGTATGTTCCAATTGTCAGATTACATTTCCAACATTTAGAGGAGATATTAGGACACATTTTAGCTAATCTTATAGGTGGGAGATGCGATCTATAGAACATTTTATAAAGGTTTTCTTTGTAAGAGGTGGCCAAAGTAAGCTTCTTGTTTCTTGCCCATAGTTCTTGCCAGATGTGCAGATCAAAATTAAGACCAAAATCCTTGCTCCATTTTAACATAGTCACTTTTACTTGTTCCTCATACATTGTCAGATCTAACAAATAGTGATATAATTTTTAATCATTTTATTCTCTGATCCCAATATTATTTTATCCAAATCTATTGGTTCTAATTTAATGCCTAACTCTTTTTTGTCTTTCCAATATCTCGCCTGCAGTTGCAGGTATGCCCACCATTCTAATTCTATCCCTTCATCCTGCAGGGTTTTCCTGGATTCCCCTCTTTCATCTAAAATATTTTTATATGTTATGATCTTATCTAATTGGGTAAATTTTGGGTATACATATATTTCTAACGGTGAGATCCAGCTAGGTACTTGGGTATAAATTGGTTGCCAAATTTTTGTCCATACATCGATAGGAGTTTGTCTAATGTAGTGTCTTCGAAAATATTTATATATTTTATACTTATGATCCCATAATATAGCATGCCATCCTAATTGTAGATCATGGCCCTCCAGACATAATAGTCTCCTGTTCTTTAATAATATCCAATCTCTTACCCATACTAGTGCTATAGCCTGGTAGTATTTCTCCAAGTCTGGAAGGCCAAATCCCCCCCTTTCCTTTGAATCTTGCAATAATTTTAGTTTAATCCTTGCTCTTTTTCCTTGCCAGATAAATTTGAGCATCATTTTATTCAAATTTTGAAAAAAATTATTTTCTAGTTTTATAGGTATGCATTGGAACAAGAATAAGATTTTCAGCAATACGTTCATTTTAATCACCACAATTCTGCCCATAAAAGAGATTAGACCAAATATCAAGATCTTTTTGGATCTGTTCTATTAACTTATCATAATTATCCTTTTTAAGTGTAGTGCATCTGGCTGTCAATTGTATCCCTAAATATCTAATTTTGTTTGTAATTTGAACACCTAGTCTGTCAACCAATTCATTTTCCTGTATTTTGGTCATATTTTTGATGAGAATTTTAGTTTTTTCTTTATTTATCGTTAAGCCTGCTATTTCTCCATATCTACTCAGTGTTTCCATCAATCTTATCCTTGATTGTAATGGTTCTTCGATTATAAAAACTAAATCATCTGCAAAGGCTTGCATTTTGAATGTCTCTTTCTTAATCTCTAAACCTTTGATCTGTTCATCTTGTCGGATTACTCTAGTTAACACCTCAAAAGATAATATAAACAACAGTGGTGATAGTGGGCAACCTTGCCTCGTGCCTTTTTGAATTTGGAAGCTCTCCGTCGGTTCTCCATTAATTATTACTTTGGCCACCTGCTTAGAATAGACTGATTTAAACATATTTAAGAAATTTTCCCCCAAATCCATATACAATAATTGGTTGAACATAAAACCCCATTTTACATTGTCGAATGCTTTTTGTGCATCAAGAAAAATTAAACACATTTGTTTTTCATTATGCACTTCATAATACTCCAAAATGTCCAAAATAGTCCTGACGTTGTTTCTTATGTATCTTTTGGATAGGAAGCCATTTTGATTAGAATGTATAAAATCCACTAAGAACCTTTCAAGCCTTTGTGCCATTATTGCCATGAAAATCTTATAATCCAAATTCAAAAGAGAAATGGGTCTATAGTACTTAATTTGTGTCAGATCTTCTTTAAGGAAGAATTCTTGCCTTGAAGTTCTTTTACTGGTTTCATCTATTGGAACCATGACATATGTGAGGAATAAAAATTCAACTCCAAGGGTGTTGGAAAACAAAACAAGTTTTATTAAAGCTTTTGCAAATGGAAAATCCCAGAGTCCACACCTGAATCAGTTTTTGCATAGGTTTTTATATTATCCCGTTCATCACGCTGCAATCTTTCCAAAGTGAGCCCAGTTGATAGGCCCACCCGATGACATGCTTTCTGACCTCCTAACAACAATTACAATTACCAAACCCTCCAATTATTAGATCAAAAGCCCCCTTTGTTCCTATTTTATCTTCACTCCCTTTCTTATGGCATGATTTGTAACATCCTGCTAACTATCCTTATCTACAAGGTGAACTGTTACCCAAACTGAATAATTGCAATTATAAAAGATTTATGTCTTCCCTTACTTATCTATAAGAGTACCTAATTTTCATCTAAAAGCTATGTGTGTAACAGAGTTCATGCTTCGGTTAAACATGACTGCACTTTGGTTCATAGTTATACTTTAAAATACTAACTCTAGGCAGTTTTTAAAAAGAGTAAACCTTATATAAATTGAATAATATGTTATTCATAAGCTATATACTATTCTACAATAGTGTGCGCTATTCTAAATGTATGCTTTAAGTCAGTATATATAATTCCTCTCTATTCCAGCTTATTATATCTCCTTTCCTAAAAGTACCTTAGCTAAGTGCCTCTATATGCCTATTCATTTAACAGAAATGGAAAATTACAACATGTACATTTCTTGTGTACCTCACATGTATACAGTTCGCAATACAAAGTAATAGTTCTTGGGTATGCACTGCCTCTTTTGACTCAAACAAAATTCATGGTTCTTTCTCAGGGTTGGTTGGAAAATCATCAGATAATTATGGACATAACTTTTTTGCTTTTTGTGAAATGCATAAAAATGGTGATGAAAAAATAAGTTGAAAAGCACAAAATTAATTTTAACATCACAAAGACATATAATGAATATAAGTGTTAGCTTTTTAAATAGTTTTTTTTTGCTTCAAACTAAAAATGATTTTTCTTTTGCTAGGGTGACTCCGGGGGTCCACTGATGACATTTGATTCAAGACAAATGTGGTACCTTGTTGGCATAGTGAGCTGGGGGGATGAATGTGGAAAACCAAATAAGCCTGGCGTCTACACACGAGTGACTTACTATCGAGACTGGATTACTAAATATACCGGACTTTGATGTAAGAAATATAAAAAGCTGCATATATTTGAAGCTGTGTAGATGGCATTCAAGTGATACAAAGGACAATGACTTTGTATAAGAGTGTTTGTATTATCTGATAAGTCATTAATAAAACTAACATTTAAAAAATAATAATATATTTGGACTGTTAAACCAAAACACCTATTGTAAAATGTGCATTCCCATTGAAAATATTGTAAATTTGCTTTCACATAGGTTGAATAATTTTGTTCACTTTCCAACTGTTCTGTGCCTTCAAAAAACATTAGTAAAAGATAGTTTAAGTCTTAAAAAGACAAGATATTATCTTTAACCATTAAGCAGCTACATGTCAAAAACAGCCCTTGGTAAGTTTGAAGTGGGCTGCACAAAACATTTATTCATTTCTAGAAAGATGCATATTAAGATTTCTGGGCCTATCTCACAGACAGTGAGAAGCAGAAATGTCTCATTGCTAGGCAAACCTAAGACATCATGATTTTAATATAAAGTAGCATTTCTTTACATTCAGAAATATGTAAGCATTGTTGTAGCTTTTGTTCCTCACCCTCCTTCTTTATTTTATTGTATCAGAAGCATAATGAATTTACTAGCATTTCCATCTATGGCAGGGGTGTCAAACTGGCAGCCCATGGACCAGACATGTCATCTGGAAGCCGCGGCCATCCCATTGCCGGGAATGGCAAAACTGTCCCGATATGTTGCGTGATGTCATGTGACATTGCGAGTTTGACATGTCTGATTTATGGGAATAGCAAATGTTAATTTTGATGGTGATAGTAATGATGGTGCTAGGATAGCATCCAAAACTCCTGCAATATTTTCTGATATTCTCCTGAAAAACATTCTAGGAAGAGGAGATAGAGAAATTTCTTTATGAAAACACACAGAGCAGTCAATCAACACTATACTTATTTAGCAAATTTGCAGAACTGGACTTTTCAAAGCTCCACCCTGATAAATATACTATACTTTGATTATAACAGTTTATTGAAAATTTTGTCATCTACATTTGCTCTTTCCTCCACCCTGAAATCTTTAAAAATAAAAGTCAGATGCTGATTTCCAATGTTGGCTGACTTCCAAAATCAAGCAGGGTTGGGCCTGGTTTAGTACTTGGATGATAGACCATTATTGAGAGTGGCAGAACAGACTGGAAGTTGAAAAAAATTCTGGAAGAAGAGAGTGGCAGTCACTTCTGCATTGTTGCCAGAAATGTTACATCAATGGAATTGAATTTGACTTGAGGAGTCTGTTCATTATGAAAATATTATTTCTTTCTAAAGAATGATAAAGAAATTTATTACTGCAAATATTCTTGTTTGTATAGTCATTCACTTTTCTACACATTATTCACTCCCAATAACTCAAATTCTTTCTATATATATATATTGATTTATAAAGGGAAGGATTTTTAAAAATTTGCCTGTGAATGAAAATTAATCAGAATATTGCTGGAAGAGACCTTGGAGGTCTTCTAATTCAATCCCTGCTCAAGCAGGAGACTCTATACCATTTTACCTGGGATGAAATCAAAACTCAAAAAGAGACTTGGAGATCACTGAAATAAATTTTTATTTAAAAGTGTTTGCAAAGGCTGGTGGACTTCTATTAACTAAATCAAGAAGTTACACACGATCAAAATTGGCAATACCTCCTGTTCCTAATGATACACCACATCCCTCCTCCATGCACCCAGTTGATGGGCCCACTTTGGTCACATTCTTTCCAACCACCTAACCTGACATCAAGTTTTCTGTCTGACAACAAATTTTCTGCCTTTTTAGAAACTAAGACTATGTGATATTTAACTAAGTTCTCATTAAATAATTTTTATCAAAAGTTGTATTCCCTTCAAATCCACCCCTTCTCTATTTATATTAAAAAATATTCATATATGTTTTCATTAATTAATTCAAAGTTTTAGCAATACTCATCTTTACTTTTAGAGGTTATCCATCTTTAATATTAGAATCTTTTCTCTATTTTTATCTTTCCTTTGAACCAGGGTTACCTGCATTCATTTGGTTGTATATTGTATTATTTTGACCATCAGGGGTAGAATACAAGGGAGAATCAATATTCCTCCTATGAACCATAGCAATATTATTTCCCATTTTGACCATTCTCCTATTAGTTGGGACCACCAAGAAGTATCCAGGATTCCTGTCCAAGTCTGAACAGGCACGTGACTATTTTTCTTATTTTAGTAGTGATTTCTTCAATTGCTTTCCCTTGATCATCTATTTGTAGGCAATAATTGGTCAGATTAAATTTTCAACACACTCCACCTTCTTGAGCCCATAAGTAATCTAAAACTAAACAATTTTGGTATACTGCTTTCTTAAGCTGAGTATTTTGTTTAGCAAGTAAATTCAAAGCTATAGCTGTCTCATTAGTAATAATTTCTAATACTGCTTGAAGTCTTAGTATCCTATTTAACATATACATAGGAGTTCTATATCCATACATCCCATCTTCAGCCCAAGTGGCTGGCCCATATACCTGTATAATTCTCTCAGGAGGCCATTCGTCATCATGCCATTGTTTTGGACCTGAGATCTCTACTGATCATTTTTCCCTGAGTCCAATTTCATCATAAACTGGGCTGAGCAGCATCGTTCTTCCAAAATCATTAAAATCAACGGGGCATGCCTTTCTGTTGGACATTGCGCCACTCGGTTTACTGGGGACCATTTTGATATCCCAGACGAACCCCAAATCAAAATTCAAAAAGAGACTTGGAGGTCACTGAAAGAAAATGTTATTTAAAAGCGTTTGCAAAGGCTGGTGGACTTCTATTAACAAAATCAAGAAGCCATACACAATCAAAATTGGCAATGATTTAAATACCTCCTGCTCCAGATGACATACCACATCCCTCCTCCATGGACCCAGTTGATAGGCCCACTTTGGTCACATGCTTCCCAACTGCCTAATCTGACAAGTTTTCTGCCTGACAAGTTCCTGCCTTTTTAGAAACTAAGACTATGCAATATTTAACTAAGTACTCATTAAAGAATTTTTATCAAAAATTATATTTCCTTCAATTTCAGATAGGAAGTTGTTCAATCTTTTCTTAAAAACTCCCTGTGACAAAGCACCTACAACTCTGCACCACTAGTCCTTCTTTTCTCTAACCAGACGTGTCAAACTGCCAGCCCATGGGCTGGATACGTCATGGCGAAACCACGCCCACCCCATTGCCGGCAATAGAAAAAAAGATTCACTAACTGCTCACTGCTCAATCCAGGAATTTGATTCTGAGTGGCTCAAGGTTGACTTAGGCCAGTGGTTCTCAACCTTCCTAATGCCGTGACCCTTTAATACAGTTCCTCATGTTGTGGTGACCCCCAACCATAAAATTATTTTCGTTGCTATTTCATAACTGTAATTTTGCTACTGTTTTGAATTGTAATGTAAATATCTGATATGCAGGGTGTATTTTCATTGTTACGAACTGAACATAATTAAAGCATAGTGATTAATCACAAAAACAATATAGCAATGCTCGCTGGAGAAGCTTACTCTTCCTTGCTCAAAAATGTTGGGAGGGAAGAGGAAGGAAGGAAAAAAGGAAGATTGAAGGGGAAAGGAAGGAGATGGAGAAGGAAGGAGATTGAAGGGGAAAGGAAGGAAGGAAGAAGAAAGAGATTGAAGGGGAAGAGATGGAGATGGAAATGGAGGGAAGGAAGGAAGGAAGATTGAAGGGGAAAGGAAGGAAGGAAGGAAAGAAGGAAGGAAGGAAGGAAGGAAGGAAGGAAGGAAGGAAGGAGAGAGAGATTGGAGGGGAAGGGATGGAGATGGAGAAGGAAGGAGATTGAAGGGGAAAGGAAGGAAGGAAGATAGGAAGGAAGGAAGGAAGGAAGGAAGGAAGGAAGGAAGGAGAGATTGAAGGGGAAGGGAAGGAGATGGATGGATGGATGGATGGATGGATGGAAGGAAGGAAGGAAGGAAGGAAGGAAGGAAGGAAGGAAGGAAGGAAGGATTGATCGATCTTTGGAGAGTCATGTTTTCCCAGATGGTGATGAACTGCAACTCCCAGCACTCCCCACTCTTCTACAGAGTTTTTTAGGGCTGCTGGAGCCCACCATCCTCATCCCGGCACCTCTTGCCCTCTCCCAGCTGCCCTCCCAGGACCTGCTCACCCTTCCAGCCTCTTGAGCGCCATCGCAGTGGCGGGATCGTGGGAGCCCCTTTCCACGCCACGCAGCCCTTCACCACCAGGACACTTCCGACTTGTCACACGCGAGAGGGGCGTGGCCAGAGCGCCAGCTCCCACTCGGAAGGTGCCGCTTCTCCCCTTCCGGCCCAGCCGGCTGGCCTCTGACACACATGCAGGCATTGCCCTCTTCCCACCTCCTGGCCGCTTCCGAGGCCCAGAGCCCGGCGAGCCGAGAAGGAGTCGCTCCTGCCCACCAGCCCCAGGGCTGCGCCAGGTGCCAGAGGGACGAGGCAGCCTCTGATGGTGAGGGAGGCAGGCCAGGTGGTGCGGGGGAAGCTCCGGTGCAGTGCGGAGGGTGGCTGGGGGCGGAGCGTGGCTGGACAACCAGGAGGCGTGGGGACTGGCTCGGTGCCGCAGCTCAGCTTAGGCAGCAGCAGTGGCAGCGGTGGAGCAGCCCAGCGGCAGCAGCGGCCCAGACCCGGCTTGGCTCGGACTGGCTGCCCACGCAGCTGAGCCGGCCCAAGGTGGCATCGGGGGCACGTGTTAAGCCCCTGGGCTTGCCACGAGCTGGGAGACAGGGAGGACGCAGCCAGCAGCCGGCCGATGTCCACATGGCCCCCATGAGCACCGCCTGACTCCCGACAGTCAGTTGGGAGTCGGGTCGGCATCCGGACATCGGTGGGGAACCGGAGGGGCTGCTACACACCGCCTGGCTCCCAACAGCCAGCTGAGAGTTGGCCTGACATGCACACGTCAGCTGGGAGTCGGCTCAGCCTCTGCGTGTCAGCCAGGCTCCTGGGAATCAGCTGGGAGTCGGCCTGGCTCCTGGCCAACAGCTGGGAGTCGGCATGGCCACCACAGGATGGCACTGAGGCGGCAGGAGCTGGCACTGTCAGAGGAGAAAGGCGCCCTGGAGGCGGAGGAGCTGGCGAAGGAGGAGGAGGAGGGCGGCGGTAGCCGGACAGAGGAGCAGTGTCTCAGTTCCTAAGACCATCAGAAATATGTGTTTTCTGATGGTCTTAGGCGACCCCTGTGAAAGCGTCGTTCGACCCCCAAAAGGGCCGCGACCCACAGGTTGAGAACCGCTGACTTAGGCTTTCATCCTTCTGAGGTTGGTAAAATGAAGAGTTGTTGAGGCAATTTGCTGACTCTGTAAACTGCTTAGAGAGGGCTGTAAAGCACTGTGAAGCGGTATATAAATCTAAGCATTATTGCTATTGCTATTATAAAGCTAGCTAGCTATTATCATTGTTGTGGTTTTTTCTTTGATTGTTTCTGCACAATCTAGTTCAGATATACATCCCTATCAATGATGTGCTACAAAAGTGAAAAACATTATTTCCTTAGTGCTCTTGGAGACGTGTTATATTTTAACGCACTGATGAATTTTAAAAAATTGAGAATTCTAGAGTTCATTGTATAGTCAATTATTATCATAAACTAATGGTGTTTAATTTCTCTCATTTTTACACATTGTAGCCTGGTAATTTAAGATATATAACTTTCGATATCTGAGATGGAAAAAGACTATTAGAACACATATTTCATTTATGTACAGTATCTGTCTCTCTAGTAACTATGAATTACTACTCTTCATCTAAAAGAAGATAATGAGTAGACTTTTTATCAACAAGCCATCCTTCCAATATCTGAATTGGCTTTTGAATTTCATCTGTAGCACATTAGCGCATTCACAAATTACGTCTCTGTTAGAGATGAAAGAAAGTGAGCCACTGACTGTCTCCAGAATAATTACACTGAACAACAAAGATTTACTTCCTGAACAGTTTGGAGTATGTCTTATGGAATTTTGGCTGCTAATCATGAATATTTATTTATTTATACTTAGCATATAGCATATCACACATGGACCAGCACTGTCAGGTCTGCCATCTTCAGCATACTTTGCTTCACTGGCATCTTGCCATAAAATACAAGGGAGGGGAGAGGCAATTGGGGAAGAAAATGGGCATGGGAATGCACAGGAAAAGAGGGAGGGTGTGACAGAGTGACAGGAATCAAAGATGTCAATCCGGAATAAATTGATTGATCAAGGATGGAACCAGTGGTGGGATTCAGCCAGTGTGCACCACTTCAGCAGAACCGGTAGCTAATGTTTTGTTGCCCAGGCCCAGAATGAACTTCCGGAAGCGGCATCCAGACAGAGAACCAGTTGTTCACATATTTGAATCCCACCACTGAATGGAATCTGAGAATGGAATGCACCAAACCTCAAAATCGTTCCCAAAACATCAACAATGAATATTATTGGTTACTGATGAACTGGTCAAGCGGGGAGGACCAGGGAAAGGGCAAAATTGCAAACTTTGTGTGTGAATACTCAGTTCCAATTTTGCTTATGCTTGACTTTGTAAAAGAATCTTTCACTTCAAAGAATAGAGCTGAAGGTCTTTCTTTCTTAAATGTCCAAGTTGGGACAAACCTGACATTAAGCTGGATCTGCAGTAGCAGTCCACCTAGAGACACACCTCTACCATGTGAACCGTGCCACCCAGCTATATGCTAAACTTTCCACATGTGAATTCCACAAACACAAAATTGACTATTTGGGCTATTGCATCTCTTATGACTGGGTGGAAATGGATCCTGAAAAAGTGTGAACTGTATTGGAGTGG